TCATAGCATTAAAAGATAATATTGATAGTGGAAAGGGGTAAAAGATTGGGAAATAAATGAGGTTGGATAGGGATTGATAGAAAGGGAACGGTTTAAGGATAAAGGGTGGTTAGATCAATTTATCACTCAGAGGAAGGAGAATAAGTTGTCAATTGAAAAGGTGGGATATTCTGTAAAGATGTTCGTCAGGTTGGGGGGTCGGGGAAGAGAGGAAAAACAAGGAAAGGCAAGGGTATGGGCTTCAGTGGGGAGGATAGTAGGATGGTAATAAAAGAGGAACACTGCATGTGGAGCATGGAGTTGGATCGTGGCATTGCAGTAAGAAAGTGTGAGGCAGGTATGACTTATTCTCAACTGAGCAAAAGCGGATATTCCTAGCATCTGTTTTGGAAGTATGGGCCCAACCAAGGAGATGTGGAAGTTTTTATAGTTTGTAATTTATTGCCAATGGTTGCAGAGGAAAGTTTTGAAGTGGGGGTAGTAGTCGGGATTGGTAGGTTGTGGACAAAGCAGCAGAGCTTGACAAGGCATCTGCTTGTTCATTGCTGGGGATCCTGACATGGCTGGGCATCTTGCAAAACTGGACTTATTTCTGTCATGTACACAGATAAAACAACTGGTCTTGTATCTTATGAACTGTTGGGTTGATAGAGTGCATGAATTGTATGAGTGAGTTGCTATCTTGGTAAAGATAGTGAAGGCTGAGAAAGAGGTGGAAAGACTTGTATTGTAAAGTGAAGAGGATACCATATAATTGTGTAGTAAGGACACATAATCAAGGATACAGAGGAATAGGGTAATAAAGAGATGGAGGAATGTTTTGCGGTTTGAGCCCCAGGATACATGCGAGTCTGTAAGAGTTGAAGGTAACGGCGGTCTTTTACTTTAACTTAAAGGATATAATATAAGGCTGTGGCTTATGGCCCAAGAAAAGATTGATGTTATAGCAAACTGAAGAAGCTGATGGAGAGTAGGTATGGAAGGTTAAATCATGTACGTACAGTGATGACAGGATTGAGGGAAAGAAGAGGAAGTTAAAGAGGTAAATCTAATGTGGAAGATATGATCAGAAAGAAAGGACTATGAAAACACCCATGATGCCTTGGACCTCAGACCTTGCCTCAACTGATTTTGCATAGTCTTATCTTCTCCCCTATTACTTTTCCTTCTCTTCTGTATCCCCTTTTTCTGTCCACTTATCCAAATTGTTTACTCATTTATACCCTTTTCACTACATTACATCACTATAGTGCTATCTGACCTCTTATGTCAAGCACATTTATTTGTTTTAACCATTAACCATTAATACCCATGTTTCCGCTTATGCCACAGGAGTATACTTGTTGCAACTGCAGATATGGTTGGAGTCTAGAAATAGGCAAGAGGGTCAGCTGATATTATTTTGAATTGTGATGTGTTTGTCTGGATTTTCAATTAATACTCAAATATGTTGATTGGTGTGATCGCTATTTGTGTTTTTACTGCCATGAAGTTTTTGGATTTGCTTAGGTGAGTTACGATCTGAGTGATACTGTTGGCATAACGTGTAGTTTGAATTTGGTATTGGTGGTGGAATGTGAGAGTTATACATGATGAAGAGGGTGGGTGAGATGACACTCCCCTGTGGTATCCCAATTCTTAGGTCAACTGTATTTCCAACACTGTTTCCAAGTTTTATCCTTGCTCGTTTCTCACTGAGGAAATTGCCAAGTAATTTGCAGAGGTAGATTGGCATCTAGCAATTGCATTCGCAGGCCATCATTAATTTCAGAAGTGATCTCAATTGATCCATCCCAAAGGTGCCTTTTTTTCCTCTTTATCGTTAGAGCTGTAATTTGGGTTACTGTATATTAGTTTCCCTAGTTGTCATTGCTGGCAGTGTCTGTATTTCTTGGGCGCTCTTGCATAGAGTTCGAGCCCTAGGGCTTAAACTCTATGGGCAACCCAGGTAAATTTTCAGTTTATAAAGTCTATGTGAAAAGCAATGGCTGGTCTGTCATAAGACTACCGAAAATGGATGTTTAGACCATTTCCCAACTGCAACTCGTATGTGGGCTTGACTGTTGATATGTTGTACATCCATGTATTGCAGCACCTTGGAGCAGAGGCAGAGGGTGACTTCAACGGAGCCAACATCTAAGGCACAAGAAGCCGAAGGAATTGCCAATGGTATGGCCCACACCACAATATTATTCATTGTATTTCTGATTGAAAATAATTTGTCATCTAAGGGAGCGCTCTAATACCCATTTGTATGATAACATTATCATAAAAATGATAAGGAAAAGGTGTGTGTAGGACAGGATTTGGTAGAAGATGGGGTGGAATGTTTAGATTGTCTTGTGTGATAGGTAAAGTAAGGAAGAGGGGTAGGTACCAGGGAAGTGGAGATCAGTATCTGGATTTACACTGGAAAAGGAATTTGACTGGGGGAGAGAGGAAGTAGAGATAGTGAAGAGATACTGGGGAGATGCTGAGACATCTTGAGAAGATGAGAGGCGAGTGGAGAGAAAGACAGTTTTGCAATAGGAAGAGAGAAAAAACTCATCGCTGTGCTTCCTGTCTGACCTCACACAGAGTAGCACTAGTTTGAATCTGAGAACTACTTCCATAGTCTCGAGATTGTAGGCAGGGCAGCTCCTGTAAAATACATTATGAGAGCCACCGCAATTGGCACACATGCGTGACTGAACAGAACAATTAGAATGGTTGTGCACAAAGATATTGGTGAAGGATTTACATTGGCCTCTTGAAAAAGTGTAGCTGTATTGCCAATGCACCATAGTCGATGAGGCAGGTAAGCAGGTTGTTTTCAAATAGGTTTGTCAGTGAGGTCAGTCAGGGTAGATAGGGCACGAACTTGGGACTCAAATGAAACTGACAAGGTGTGTAAGATTAGAACGATTGTAAAAGGAATCTTTGCTCACTTGCTTTTGGAGACACTGTCGAAACAGTAGGGTACTGTCAGAGTAAGGGACTGTAGGGGGAATCACAAAGAATCGATCCCACTTGGCTGAGCCAAAAAGAGTACTCAAAGGTTAGTAGAGGTAGGAGCAGTAGAAGTACGAGGGCAGGAGGAAGAGGAGGTGGAGCAGATTGAGGACAATAGGGGTGAAGAGTAGTAACAAGGGGAGAGAAAGTAGACAATGAAAAAGACTGTGCAGTAGATGAAGTAAAGGATGTTTGGAGAGAGGTAGTGTATTCTGAAGGTTGAGTGACCCGGGTGGATGATTTGGAATGGACAGAACTGACAGCAAACATTGAGGAGGGGGTATTTGTATCAGTGATCAAAGCCATGGTCAGAGGAGAGGCAGAAGTCAAGAAACCAGAGAAATCAAATTTAAATAGGCTAGTTGATGAAAGGCCAAGCCTTAATGCCCCTATTGAGGGTAAAAAAATATTCATTATTAGCCATGTTGAGCCCAAAGTAAGGAAAAGAAATGGTCTACCCCTCATGGTCCCCATAGGAGGTAAGGGCTAGGCGATTAACCACAGAGCCAGCTTTTCATCTTTTCAACACTGCTCTCACACCTTAGGAAGTAGACAGAAGATGAAGAGTGAGAAAAGAAAAGAGGTAAATTTTATTTTCATTTATTTATTGAAAATTTTCTGTCAATATCTAAGGTCATTAGTGGCTTATTCAAAACAGTGATGGGATGGGGCATGGGGGGCAGAGGCCTAATGTAAAGTTTTTGGTTCATAAGGCGATGCTTGTGGATTTTCTGAATAGAGGTCAAAACAAATGTGCCAGACATCTAAGGTCATATAATAAGGTCATTAGTGGCTTATTCAAAACAGTGATGGGATGGGGCATGGGGGGCAGAGGCCTAATGTAAAGTTTTTGGTTCATAAGGCGATGCTTGTGGATTTTCTGAATAGAGGTCAAAACAAATGTGCCAGACATCTAAGGTCATATAACATTGTGATAAAGTATTGTGGCAAAAATGGGTAAAAATGGTAATGATTTAGATAAGTGGACAGAAGATGAAGAGTGAGAAAAGAAAAGAGGTAAATTTTATTTTCATTTATTTATTGAAAATTTTCTGTCAATATCTAAGGTCATTAGTGGCTTATTCAAAACAGTGATGGGATGGGGCATGGGGGGCAGAGGCCTAATGTAAAGTTTCTGGTTCATAAGGCGATGCTTGTGGATTTTCTGAAGAGGTCAAAACAAATGTGCCAGACATCTAACGTCATATAACATTGTGATAAAGTATTGTGGCAAAAATGGGTAAAAATGATAATGATTTAGATAAGTGGACAGAAGATGAAGAGTGAGAAAAGAAAAGAGGTAAATTTTATTTTCATTTATTTATTGAAAATTTTCTGTCAATATCTAAGGTCATTAGTGGCTTATTCAAAACAGTGATGGGATGGGGCATGGGGGGCAGAGGCCTAATGTAAAGTTTTTGGTTCATAAGGCGATGCTTGTGGATTTTCTGAATAGAGGTCAAAACAAATGTGCCAGACATCTAAGGTCATATAACATTGTGATAAAGTATTGTGGCAAAAATGGGTAAAAATGGTAATGATTTAGATAAGTGGACAGAAGATGAAGAGTGAGAAAAGAAAAGAGGTAAATTTTATTTTCATTTATTTATTGAAAATTTTCTGTCAATATCTAAGGTCATTAGTGGCTTATTCAAAACAGTGATGGGATGGGGCATGGGGGGCAGAGGCCTAATGTAAAGTTTTTGGTTCATAAGGCGATGCTTGTGGATTTTCTGAATAGAGGTCAAAACAAATGTGCCAGACATCTAAGGTCATTGATAAGTATTGTGGCAAAAATGGGTAAAAATGGTAATGATTTAGATAAGTGGACAGAAGATGAAGAAGAGAAGTAAGGTAATAAGAATAAGAAAAGACCATGCAAAATTAGTTGGGGTAAGGGTTTATTTCCAAGGCTGGGATGATCCCTTACATTAGGCCACAGTCCCCATTTCCAAAGCTCCCCCACCCCACCTGACAACAACGAGCAAGGGATTGGTACCACTTGGTGTGAAGAGGTATACAATTTGGTGTTTTATATTTATTTATTGACTTTTACTTATTTACTTTTTTTGTATTTAATTAATTTCATTTATTTATTTGTTATTCATTTATTGGTGGACCCTTGAAGGGTGCCTTGCCAGAACCCTACTCACTGGAGTTCTCCTGTTCTATGAGGAATGGAGGCTGTCTAGTGGACTTGCTTCTGGCACCCAAGCTGCTCGACCGCTCGCAAGTGAATACCACCACACTCAGGAGTGGTCGTAGGCCAAGAAACCAGAGGAAAGTTTGAAAATTTAGAGTAGAAGGCAAAGATGCTTATAAATCAATCAGGGCACTGGGCTCTGACTGTACAGATTATGGCCAAAACTAATCCTGCATGCCAGGTGCTGCAATCCTCAAATTCTGTTTAAGTACAAAAGTAGCAGTGCAGTGGTCTTGAGAGTACTTGGAAAGGTTTGCTATAATAGTAACCCTCTTTGTATTGTTGTATGGTAACTTACTTTTCACTGCTCAGGAGGAGGAGAGAGGGGGAATGAGGTAGGGGATCAGGGGAAGGTATAGTGTCAGGAGGTTCATCAGGAGAAAAGAGGGACACTGTTGTGACAAAAGGAATTTACGGGGAAGTGGGGGAAGATGATCAGGTGTGTTGGGAGGGAGTAGGGGGAGCATGAGGAGGAGGATGGATGGATGTTGGCAGTCACTTTGAGTGTAGACAAACTGGGATAAAAGGAATTAGAGGATGGTTGAGAGACAGCAGCTTAGAATAAAGAATTTTTAATCAGATTATCCCAGAGTCCTGGATAAGTTGCCAATTTGTTCTTTCCTGAAACAGGATGCAGTGTTACTAAACTATAGTGGCTTTCGATTATTGCATCCAAATCCACTTGCATTTCAGCACATCATTTCTACAAAGTCCAAGGAACTTGACTCAGTGAGTTATGCTGTGCTGTCACCAATCTTTTAATTTTATCATATATAGATTCTTCTGTACACCCTCATGCTTATAACGTTACATCCTACCTCTTTGTATTCTAATTTCATGCATGCCACTCTCTCATTATAATAGCCAAATACTTTGCTTTTATTTTTCTGACGGCTAATTAATTTGATTCTCTATTTTCAGGAAACTCCACTTTGCTTTTAGCACCACTCCATATATATCTTTGCTTTTGTTTTCTAACCTAATTTCAGCAAGTTTCATAGCTGTCAATCAGATGAAGTTGTTTGTGTATTAATACTATAATATCGCACTCTTCCTAAACTCTTATTACACAAAATCAGAAAAAACTGTTGAACCAAGATGTTTAGGGAAATTTTACACCTCTCTCAACTTATGATTTTAAAAATTTTATTTTGTAAATAACAAAACAATAATAATATATCTTATTACCAAAGTTATACCGTTCTTCCACAAACCATAACTCTTCAAACAACTGCACCAACTTTGATTACTATTTACTCTTATCAACACTTACATCATTAGGTTAGATTTGTAAATATCAAAAATCACGATGATAAAGACCATAATTATCAGTTCTTGTCAATATTAAATGCAGCAAAAAGAAAAGTGAGAGAAAGAAAAGTGGTTTTCGCCTGGCCCTTTACGTGAACAACATTGACAGTGTTAACCACCACTCTTGTTTAACTGAAGACTGCCTAGTGTTGAATAAACTGATTATTTGATCTTATGCAGAATATATATGTTTAATGATATACCAAAAAGTACGTTGTATTAACTTGAAAGGTAATAATTCAATAATGGGTAATATTCTACGTTTCTGTAAAAGTTACTTCTATTACACTGTTACTGACCACGGCCTCTCATTGTCTAAGACCACTGGTTCAACCTGAAAAAAGACGACAGTGAGAGATGATTAAAACGCAGCATAAGTACCCTTTAAAAAAAAGTGTACATAGGAAGCTACAATGTTAATTCAAACTTTATCACATTAGAAACAGTCAACCATAGTTTACCTTCTGCGTAAGGGAATCTTGGCAAGCCATCCTAATTCTCTCAGCCGTTGCAGGGGAGTCGAGTCGAAACACCGGGTCGAAGCCTTGTTCTGCTCGAGCTGAAGCCACTGCCTGTTTGATGGCGTAGAAAACGGAGGTGGCCAAGAGCAGTGGGGGTTCTCCTACAGCCTGAGAAAAGATACACGAACAGAGAAAGCTTGTGAGAATATTGAAATGAGGACTTGTGGAGAACTTTCTCTAGAAACCTTTCAAATTGAGTTCTTCATAAATTAGGAACTGTAGCAGCTTTGTTTATGTCCATGGTGCAATAAATATATATTTTTTTCAATATCATAACTTCGATTATAAAAAAGAAACACTGACTATGCTTGCATGAATGACAATGTTTTTTGACAACTTGCCCAAGGTCATCTTAAAGAATGAAATTATCATTTGATAAGCATAATCGTTTACTCTGCAAAACACCAAATAAATATGAACTGAATAACAAATTTGTTTTTCATGCTTAGCAGAGATATTCTTTTACCTTTGAGGAAAAGACTGCCCTTGGGTTGGGTGCCCCACGAAGCAGTGAAACATTAAACTCTCTAGGGATGTCCTGGAATCCTGTAGAAAAATATTAATGGCTTTAATATTGTTTTCAATATAACGATCATTCAACCTAAATTGTTTTTTTCACTGGAAAATGTACTATGAACATCACCTCTTAAGAAATGAAAGATGTCAAGCAGCCAGAACCGGCGTCGAAAAGATTTCACTGATGAAACTACTGAACAGAATATGAATAAAAATGAACAACGCACTGCACAAGGAATAACTCTACCCAATTTTAGTACAACTGTGGGACAAACCTGGTATCTTATAGGTGCTGGGGCCACGAGTGAGCAGCACGCCCTCGGGGGAGTACCGGAGCTCTTCTAAGGTGTAGAGTCCGAGCCCCTGCGTGAAGGCGCCCTCCACCTGCCCGATGTCGATGGCGGGGTTGAGCGAGTCGCCGACGTCCATCACGATGTCCGTGCGGAGGACCTGCGGGAAAGACGGAGGAAGAAGAGAAAAAAAATCGATTGATGTAATAGGTGTTGAGGGTATTTCTCCTTGAGTTTTTTTTTTTATTAATTTTCTGTGTGTGTGTGTGCGTGTGCGTGTGTGCGTGCGTGTGCGTGTGTGTGTCTGCGCGCGGACCATAACTCTTCAAACAACTGCACCAACTTTGATTACTATTTACTCTTATCAACACTTACATCATTAGGTTAGATTTGTAAATATCAAAATTCAAGATGATAAAGACCATAATTATCAGTTCTTGTCAATATTAAATGCAGCAAAAAGAAAAGTGAGAGAAAGAAAAGTGGTTTTCGCCTGGCCCTTTACGTGAACAACATTGACAGTGTTAACCACCACTCTTGTTTAACTGAAGACTGCCTAGTGTTGAATAAACTGATTATTTGATCTTATGCAGAATATATATGTTTAATGATATACCAAAAAGTACGTTGTATTAACTTGAAAGGTAATAATTCAATAATGGGTAATATTCTACGTTTCTGTAAAAGTTACTTCTATTACACTGTTACTGACCACGGCCTCTCATTGTCTAAGACCACTGGTTCAACCTGAAAAAGACGAGTGAGAGATGATTAAAACGCAGCATAAGAACCCTTTAAAAAAAAGTGTACATAGGAAGCTACAATGTTAATTCAAACTTTATCACATTAGAAACAGTCAACCATAGTTTACCTTCTGCGTAAGGGAATCTTGGCAAGCCATCCTAATTCTCTCAGCCGTTGCAGGGGAGTCGAGGCGAAACACCGGGTCGAAGCCTTGTTCTGCTCGAGCTGAAGCCACTGCCTGTTTGATGGCGTAGAAAACGGAGGTGGCCAAGAGCAGTGGGGGTTCTCCTACAGCCTGAGAAAAGATACACGAACAAAGAAAGCTTGTGAGAATATTGAAATGAGGACTTGTGGAGAACTTTCTCTAGAAACCTTTCAAATTGAGTTCTTCATAAATTAGGAACGGTAGCAGCTTTGTTTATGTCCATGGTGCAATAAATATATATTTTTTTTCAATATCATAACTTCGATTATAAAAAAGAAACACTGACTATGCTTGCATGAATGACAATGTTTTTTGACAACTTGCCCAAGGTCATCTTAAAGAATGAAATAATCATTTGATAAGCATATTCTTTTACTCTGCAAAACACCAAATAAATATGAACTGAATAACAAATTTGTTTTTCATGCTTAGCAGAGATATTCTTTTACCTTTGAGGAAAAGACTGCCCTTGGGTTGGGTGCCCCACGAAGCAGTGAAACATTAAACTCTCTAGGGATGTCCTGGAATCCTGTAGAAAAATATTAATGGCTTTAATATTGTTTTCAATATAACGATCATTCAACCTAAATTGTTTTTTTCACTGGAAAATGTACTATGAACATCACTTCTTAAGAAATGAGAGATGTCAAGCAGCCAGAACCGGCGTCGAAAAGATTTCACTGATGAAACTACTGAACGGAATATGAATAAAAATGAACAACGCACTGCACAAGGAATAACTCTACCCAATTTTAGTACAACTGTAGGACAAACCTGGTATCTTATAGGTGCTGGGGCCACGGGTGAGCAGCACGCCCTCGGGGGAGTACCGGAGCTCTTCTAAGGTGTAGAGTCCGAGCCCCTGCGTGAAGGCGCCCTCCACCTGCCCGATGTCGATGGCGGGGTTGAGCGAGTCGCCGACGTCCATCACGATGTCCGTGCGGAGGACCTGCGGGAAAGACGGAGGAAGAAGAGAAAAAAGTCGATTGATGTAATAGGTGTTGAGGGTATTTCTCCTTGAGTTTTTTATTTATTAATTTTCTGTGTGTGTGTGTGTGCGTGTGCGTGTGCGTGTGCGTGTGCGTGTGTGTGTCTGCGCGCGTGCGTGTGTGTGTGTGTGGGGGGGGGTAGGGGTATGGTCATGTACGTGTGCGTGCGTGTATATGTGCTCTCTCACCGAATGATGTCCAGTGAGGCAGTCCACCTCCACCTCCGTTACCGCAGCGCCGAAACAGAAGTAACTGAAGGGGCGACCTTCATTCGTTTCGAAGTTGTACCCAGAGATCCCTGGAGTTCTGTAATGAAACCACTGGCTTTTGCAATGCTTGAGCTCGCATGGGAATAATAATAATAATAATAATAATAACAATAACAATAACAATAACAATAATAATAATAATAATAATAATAATAATAATAATAATAACAATAATAAAACTTCTATCCACAGCGGGCAGCAACGAAAATCGGAGCTAGGGAAGGTCAATATAACGCAAAATGACCCAGCGTACTTGTAAAATCCGGTGGCGGAGAGGGAAACGCGGTCGAAATAAGCAGCCTTCACCCACTCGTCCCATCCGCCCTTTGGGTTGCTTGCCATATAGTGTTCGAGTCGTTGCATGATGGTGTTGCATGCATTCTGGGGGAAAAATCGTCAGCGCTCAATAGTCTTACATTTAAAACTGTGTGGTGTAAGAATTTATTATATGATTACTTAATTGTATACGTAATATTACCTCCTGAAGTTAAAATTAGAATAATGATGATGATGTAAGCTCAGTACTTCTAATAGTTGACTTCAATTTGCCTTTCAATTCAGAATGAATCCAACGTTTCTACAACTGTATGTGATAGGAAAGATGAATTACTTTTCCAATATAAGCTCGAAAAATGTAATTTCATGATCAAAAACAATAATACAGTCAAGTCACAATGTACATCTTGCGCCACTTAACGCGTAGACTTACTAAAATAAAAAAAAAATTCAATTTACATCATATACACGTTACCGTGCTTGTGATTTTATGTTTTGCTACGTTTGGGAGGCATGATCCACTTCACAGTAACAATATTGTCAATATACAAATAAATATAGAGGTATACTTCGTCGGATACCAAATGCCATGGACGGGAGCCCAAAAATTACTTTTTCGAGCCTCGGTACGTGTGCAAAGTTCAGACCTTACCTCTACCCCCTGAGGCATTATACTTTTACAGTACCGATCTAATTGTTAGGTTCCTTAAGTCCTATTTTTTTCTGATACCAAAAAAAAAGTTAAAATAAACGGCCTAATTGCGACAACTTGACTCCGAAAGCGCATTGGCAGTGAACTCACAAGAACAGCCATGCCATAGAGGTCGGAGGAGAGAGAGGCTGCCGTGGAAGAGGTATTCGGCACCTTATCCGTGCTGGTCTCGTCGATGTAGATTCTTGTGACCGGAATCTTTAGCACTCTGGAGGCAACCTGAAAAAAACTTTTTGAGTTATGTGTGGTATTTTAGCCTTCAAGTGATATGAATCACCAGGCCAAGGCTAAAAAAGATTAAGTAGCTGTTGGTTTCTGAAATTTGTGAAGATGCCATTAACTCTCTCTTGATTTGAATCTATGGTCGATCATTAATAATAAATTGTAGAGATTTCTTGTCCAGAATTAGTCACAATAATTCAATTCAAAGTTCAATGTATTGGTGATGAACTAACAAGCAAAATATTATGATCCTGCGACATATTTTCTATAGCTCAACAGTTCAAAAATATGTAATCAAGCATATTGTGAATGATAAAATAGGTAATTTATATTGCTAACCTACCGACAAGCCTCTGGTTTAACTGTACAGGGGCCCAGCAATGTCATTTGCAAACTTGATCAACTAATAAAGAATATTCAATAATAACGTCCTAAAATGTCCTAGGTATTGTCATAATCAAGCGGCAATCTTCAGATCAACATTCCTAATCTCAACAGCAAAATCATAGCCCCAACAAACAAACAATTCAGCAACGACATAAAAACAAGATGAAATACAACGAGGCCAAAACAGCAAAGTAGTCCTATATCCCCACCCCAGCCTCGTTCAAACCATTATGCGTTCGTATCCCTCGCTGAACAACTTGCCTGAATCATCTTGGTGTGAAGTCCCTGGCCCATCTCGGTGCCGCCGTGAGACAGGAGGACAGAGCCGTCAGTGTACACGTGGACGAGAGCCCCGGCCTGGTTGAGGAATAGCTCCGTGAAGCCGATGCCGAACTTGAGGGGCAAGGCGGCGATTCCCCGTTTCGTGTACTTATTTGAGCTGCGGGTGTGGGAAGTGATGGGTTGTGGAGGTGGTGGTGGTAGAGGTGGAGGTGGTGGTGGTAGAGGTGGAGGTGGTGGTGGTAGAGGTGGAGGTGGAGGTGGAGGTAGAAGTAGAGGTGGAGGTGGAAGTGGTGTTAGTGGTGGAGGTGATGGTAATGGTGATGGCGACATTTATAATGACGAAGGCAATCAACAACAACCATGACAACAATAATAACCATATCAACAATTGTGATTATACAAAATTACAAGCCATAGTAATGACAACACTCATTTTCTTCTTTCCAAAAGAAAATCTAGAAAGCCAGTCACTTACCTGTTGAACTTTCTCACCAATTCTCTCCGCGTGTGGTAGTCGGCTTGCGAAACGACTTCGTCCCAGCAGCGCCTGACCGTACATCTCTCCAGGGTTTGCTTGTAGTGGGTCTCATCCCCCGAGACGTACATGTTCTTCAGTCGCACCTGGCGGAGGACGGAAGGGAATATGGGTAAATATTCGTGTCTCTGTTTCTACGTGTTTCCGTGTGTCTGACTCTTTCTCTGTGTCTGCCTGTCTGTCTGTCTCTCACACATACAGCGCGCGCGCACACACACACAGAGATTTGAAACAAACAAACAAATCCGTTCTTACACACACACAAAAAAAAACACTACGGCATGCACATAGGGATAATTTATGCAAGCCATTAGCTCAAGGCCACGGCTGCAGAAGCTAATGTGAACGTCTGCCACCGTGGGCTCCGAGTTCGTTCATAATCATCGCCCCAGCATGCGGTTAGATGTTGATTGTGACTGACCATATTTGCCCCTTTCAATGCCTCCAAAAGACACCGAGTCACCTCCAGGAGTGGGCGAGCTGAACACGCCACATTTGCGCAGTACTTGCTCCCAGATATCCGTGTCAGCTTCATTTACTTGTGTTGTGCTCTCCATCAAGCTATAAACCACTATCACCGCAAGAACCAGTCATTGTATTAAGTCCCAAAGCCTTTTACAAGCTGGTGGCAGAGGTGGTAGTTGCATCCTTTTAGCTCGCAACGCGAACAATCACGTCTCTGAAACCGCTCGACCAACTTTAGTGAAAGGAAGTGGCACACTCTATCCTTCTGACCTTCGCATTTCTTATTTTAAAATAAACAAACATGAATATCGGTCATTAAGTAATTAATTCATCTCGTTTTTAGAGGTCTATATTTTTTCAACTACAACGAATTCAGCACGATCGTCATTTTCTCTCAAACTGAGAATGAACTCCTTGTGATTTCGCCAAATTCTCTGTACTTCATTCTTTTCTTGTACGAGTTTCGTTGATTGACCTTTAGAAATCCACTTAAACTTACTTTTCTGTTAAGTTAATTTTCTTACTGATTTCACTTATCTTTATCACGACCATCATATCATTTATTTCTACTCATTCTCACTCGCGCTCAACCTCACTCTCTCAACTCATAAACCTTTTCATTAATAGGGTTTGTTGCTGTTGTAGTTATAGGCATAAAGATCAATGCCGTGCCTATTTTGCACAATACCATATTTTACATACATTTCTTTCGCTTTGTGATGACAAATGATTCAAGTGAATCTTCGCAGATTGCCATTGTCATTTTTCTTATCTCCTTTTATATCTATCAGAGACGGTTTATAGTTCAAGCCGGTTCTTGTGGACCGCAACTGACGTCACCCTCTCCTATTTTACTCTTTACCTTTGTAAAAAAAAAAAAAAACACTACGGCATGCACATAGGGATACTTTATGCAAGCCATTAGCTCAAGGCCACGGCTGCAGAAGCTAATGTGAACGTCTGCCACCGTGGGCTCCGAGTTCGTTCATAATCATCGCCCCAGCATGCGGTTAGATGTTGATTGTGACTGACCATATTTGCCCCTTTCAATGCCTCCAAAAGACACCGAGTCACCTCCAGGAGTGGGCGAGCTGAACACGCCACATTTGCGCAGTACTTGCTCCCAGATATCCGTGTCAGCTTCATTTACTTGTGATGAACTCTTCATCAATAAAGAGTCAAGCCGTATACCACACTCACTGCCCAACTAGTCACTGTATTAAGGCCCACAGCTTTTTACACACACACACACACCACACACACACAAGGCACACAAACCCACGAGGACAACACAACAGCGCAAAGTAGGCCTATAGCCCCACCCCAGCCTCGTTTAAACCATTATGCGTTCGTATCCCTCGCTGAACAACTTGCCTGAATCATCTTGGTGTGAAGTCCTTGGCCCATCTCGGTGCCGCCGTGAGACAGGAGGACAGAGCCGTCAGTGTACACGTGGACGAGAGCCCCGGCCTGGTTGAGGAATAGCTCCGTGAAGCCGATGCCGAACTTGAGGGGCAAGGCGGCGATTCCCCGTTTCGTGTACTTATTTGAGCTGCGGGTGTGGGAAGTGATGGGTTGTGGAGGTGGTGGTGGTAGAGGTGGAGGTGGAGGTGGTGTTAGTGGTGGAGGTGATGGTAATGGTGATGGCGACATTTATAATGACGAAGGCAATCAACAACAACCATGACAACAATAATAACCATATCAACAATTGTGATTATACAAAATTACAAGCCATAGTAATGACAACACTCATTTTCTTCTTTCCAAAAGAAAATCTAGAAAGCCAGTCACTTACCTGTTGAACTTTCTCACCATCTCTCTCCGCGTGTGGTAGTCGGCTTGCGAAACCACTTCGTCCCAGCAGCGCCTGACCGTACATCTCTCCAGGGTTTGCTTGTAGTGGGTCTCATCCCCCGAGACGTACATGTTCTTCAGTCGCACCTGGCGGAGGACGGAAGGGAATATGGGTAAATATTCGTGTCTCTGTTTCTACGTGTTTCCGTGTGTCTGACTCTTTCTCTGTGTCTGCCTGTCTGTCTGTCTCTCACACATACAGCGCGCGCGCACACACACACAGAGATTTGAAACAAACAAACAAATCCGTTCTTACACACAAAAAAAAAAAAAACACTACGGCATGCACATAGGGATACTTTATGCAAGCCATTAGCTCAAGGCCACGGCTGCAGAAGCTAATGTGAACGTCTGCCACCGTGGGCTCCGAGTTCGTTCATAATCATCGCCCCAGCATGCGGTTAGATGTTGATTGTGACTGACCATATTTGCCCCTTTCAATGCCTCCAAAAGACACCGAGTCACCTCCAGGAGTGGGCGAGCTGAACACGCCACATTTGCGCAGTACTTGCTCCCAGATATCCGTGTCAGCTTCATTTACTTGTGATGAACTCTTCATCAATAAAGAGTCAAGCCGTATACCACACTCACTGCCCAACTAGTCACTGTATTAAGGCCCACAGCTTTTTACACACACACACACACACACACACACACACACACACACACACACTCACACTCACTCACTCTACCTAACACAAAGATTTCACACAAGATCACACAAACATCTTATATCCAGACTCTAATACCTCATCAGGATCCATGTTAAGGAATTCTGCCACCCTGGAAACCATGTACTCAGTGATAATAATGGCCTGTGGTGACCCAAATGCTCGGAAGGCTGTATTAGATGGTAGATTGGTCTTGCAAGGATATCCTGTCACCTGTCTGTTTTCGCATCTAAAAGGAAGAAGAAAAAAACATGCCTAGAATGTGTCCTAAGAGGGGGGGGGGGCTGGTTTTGATGGGGGCGGGGGGCAAGATATATAATAGTTATATTCATCAAGAATTGTAACTTATCAATCAGTTGCCTGTTTTAGGGAGCCTAGCAGCTTATGAACTAGGTACATCATATTATGAGATGCAGCTTAACGGAAAATGGAAGTATCTGTATTTGGATGGTATCAAGACACCGCCTACCAGATCGGCGAAGCCAGATTTCAGTTGAGAGGGAACTACTGAAGGATACAAACTAGAACAATGTATCATGGTTGATATAAAATATATGTTTGAAACTGAAAAATGGCTGACAGTAAATGAAATTAAATCTAAAGATTATAGTAAATGTTAGAAGATTTTGTCTATAACAACTTAAAAACTGGAGAAAATAATTACTTAAAGCAACACCTGAGGACAGCAAAGACACTCTTGTGTAGACTGTTTTTTAACGTTTCACTGTTGGGCCCTGTCAAGCAAAATTAAAGTAGGTACATACCTGTATACACTGTCATGATTAAGCATTGCATAGCCAATGACGGCGCAAGAAAGGTCAAGAGAGCAGCCTCCATTTGAATACAGGTCCATCTGAATCGCTTTGAAAATTCCTTCATCTGTGAATCCTATTTTCCAGCGACCCAAGAAAGGATGGCGTCCTCCTGTCATTAGCATGTCTTCTTCTCGGTCTAGCGATATGCGGACAGGTCGCTTCAGGCTGTGTTTGTACCAGGAATATAAAAGAAATCAGTAAAGTATGTTTCATTATGTTCAATTATTTATCAGTGTGTAAATGGCAATATTAATACTATTATATTATTATGTTTATAATGCTCATATCTGTTAGTCTGATACTGCAAGTTCAGAACACGTTCCACAGTCATGAAAAAATATCAAAGGTCTCGAAATATATCACAAACACTTACGCAGCAGCTGCAATAGCAATCGGCACAGACAACATGTTGTTCCGTGTCTCCTTTCCCCCAAAGCCTCCTCCCAATCTCTTAACGCGACATGTCACTAGGTTCAAAGGCACTCCTAAGGCAGCGGCCACATGCCTCTGGGTCCCAGATGCATTTTGTGTAGTTGAGAACATTTCCACACCTCCGTCCTCGCCCTTGGGGACGGCGAGGTGAGTGTGGGTCTCCAAGTAGAAGTGTTCCTGTCCTCCCACATGCATCTCGCCCTCAAGGATGTGTTGGGATGACCTGAAGCCTTCCTCAATGTTCCCCTTCTTGATGGTGAAAGGGGTCCACCAAGACTGCTCATTGATAGCATCCTTGAAGGTGGAAAGAGACACAGAGGTATAGTACAGAGATCCAGTATGAGACAATGAACAAAGTGAACATTATTGGACCACGTTAATCCATATTAAGATACGCATACATTAAGGACAATGCTTAATTCATATGAACGTAATGTATTACCTGGATTGTTATAATGCAAGGTTTAATGTCTTCATACTGAATCTTAACAGCTTTTGCTGCCCTTTGTGCTGTGGCTCGGTCCTTGGCTACTACAAGGCCAATCAGCTGACCTACACAGTTCACTTTCTTGGAGGCAAACAACTCCTCATCCGCTGTTATTGGGCCTATTCTATTCCTTTCCTCTGTCGGTGATAAAACAAAATTCAAATTTAGATTAATGGGTACAAAGTCAAATATATGTGCTAGATATCCAAGGTCATATAAGACTATAGTAAGGTGTAATAGTGAAAAGGGTTACAAGGGGGCTTAGTTGATGATTAAATGTGCTACACGTCAGACGTCGTATAGCAATTCAAGAAGGTAGGGATTATTAGATTAAAGATTTCAATGGAAGATGTGTGAGGTTTTGTAAGGATGTCTGTAGGATAAGGTAGTGAATAGCAAAGGAGAGAGGGGTTTAAGGAAGAATGTCAGGAGGGAGAGAATCCAAGGAGAGAGGTTGTTGTGACAAAGGGTCGCATTCAGGCGGAAGCGGTAGCGATAATGGGGAAGGAGGAGGGGATGATGCAGCTGAAGCAGGGAGGGGGGATGGGATATGCTGGGAAGGAGTCGGAGGAAGGGGTGTAGGGGGAACATGAGTAGGAAGATGATAGATGTCGGAAGTTACTTTGCGTGTAGAAGGAATGGGAGTAGAAAGATTGGAAGATGGATTAGGTTTAAGTATGTTATCTTGGATCATGATGAGATAGTCTTGAATGTCTTCGAGAGTTTCTGTAGTGGATCTGGGGGGATCTGAGGAACGAAAGGTTTTCTTATGTGGAGGAGAAAAGGGGTGAGATGTTTGAAGGGTGGAAGAGAGGTTCATGAAGAAAATGGAGTAGAATTTGGGATGGAGTGTTTAGCTTGTCTTGTGTGATGAGTTGGGCGAGGAGGAAGAGGGATACTGAAGTAGTGATTGGAGTGTCTGGAATTGTGGTGAAGATTTGGGTGTATGGATTTAGAATGGCAAAAGACTTTGACTGGGAGAGGTAGGGGATAGAAGTGGGATGAAGAAGAGATGCTGGGGGAGATGTAAAAACATCTTGAGAGGAAAGGGGACAGGAAGAGCAATTATTAGAGCAGAGTGAGAGGGAGTCAACGTGCTTCCTGTATGGCTGTGCATAAAGTGAGCCAAGTCTGAACCTGAGACTTGCCACTTCAGCTACATTATGGGAGCCAGCGAAATTGACTGTGCAGAGCAATTTGAATGATTATGACCAGGATGGACACAATGAGGGCATTGGACTATGGAATGGTAGTGTTTGGCAGGATGGCCTAGAAGACAACAATTTAGATATTGATGGGGAGAGGCTGGTTGGGCAGGGAGGGACTCGCTACCAATGTAAACATTAAAGAGGAGATCATGTCTAGGGAAAATAATTTTGGCAATATTGGTGGGGGACCTAGATGGCCTCTAGGAGGGATGATGTAGCATTGTATTGATACTGCATCATAGCCCATGAAGCAGGCAAATAAATCTTCTCCACAATATGATCAGCCATTAGACAGGGCAGTTTGCTGGGGAGATGGAAACAAGTAGTGAGGTAGGGATGAGGTTATGCAGTTCCTAAACATCACAAACTACCGCCAGTGCAGAATTGTCCCAATCTATAGGCCCGGTCACACAGCCTTTCGCGGGCGTATCGCGGCTGAATCACGGCCAAAAATTTCTGCCCGTGAAACAGACGCTGTTGGACGCTTTGAGGTCGCGATAAAGACGCGCTTCAGCCGCGCTTCACCCGCGATAAGGACGCGGAACAGTCGCCGGCGTCTGTTCCGCGGGCATAGCACATTTTCCACCGCGGGCAACCGCGGGCAAAAAAACTCGCGAAATTTTACCCGCGATACAGACGCGAAAGGCTGTGTGACCGGGCCTTATCACCAATTCCACGTCCTCCTTTGTATGTCCATATCTCTATGCCCCTTATCCCTTCACCTTCCACTTTCCTATCCCTCTTCCCCGACAACTGTATCGTTAAAATCGGTGTTCACTAGAGACCCTTTTGTTATATGAATAAATCACTTAAGTTTCATTGTCTGTTTCTCGTATCTCATAGGGCTGTTTGTGCAGTCTATGAATCTTCCTGTAGCAATGCATTATAATGGAATTTTTTTCTATTTTTAGGGCATATGTTGTTCAGAACAATGGATATAATCAGTATGTGAATCAGTTGTTAATCTTATTACTTCCCAGTCCAAGGAGCACTAATTGTTCAACATTAGCTGCGTTTTGTATATGAAGTGTTCTACTAATTCCAGTACTTTCCCATCACCTCTCACTTCAGGTTGTTCCTTACCTGGGATGTTATCTTCAAATTACATTTGTCACTGCTGACCTATAAGCCACAGCTTCTCATCTTCTAGTTGGAGTTGGCCAAGGTCCATGTCATGCAGCAATCTGAGATTTGTAATACTATGTCTGCCAACTATAAACCTTTCCAGTGTCACTTCTTGATGGGGCCGCATGCTACTGGCTCGCCTTGATTATGTTTGGTGAATGCGTAAGAATTGTGTGCATCAGAATAACCTTCGAGGGGTTTTCACTAAGAACTCACATATTGGTATCTCGGATTCATTTATCTTTAACCACATCGGACCACTTTGGTCTGGGCTGATAAGTATGGTTGTATCAGTTATGATAGGGTAGTTGCAGCTCCTTTATATACCTTGTCCACCTTTTCTTCACCACATTGTAATCTGCTACTGTATAGTGTTCTATCTCCGTTATTACACTTGTGAGTCTACTACCACGCAGAATATCAATCATGAGCGATTGTCACGAATGACACCTGGAAAGGTAATCAGTATGCCCGGAAAAGAGAATGCAGAAAGGTATTTGAGTGTGACCAACGTAATCCAGTTCATTGTTATTGTTCTTTAGGAAGGCTCTCTGAATTCATGGCGAGTTCGATTATCATAGAGAGGCCCTTTTGCATGTGGCTGAACTATACTATACCATAAATAATACATATAGTATATATGTATATACTAAGATGTTTGTGCGATGTAATTTCTACCCCCCCTCTCTCTCTCTCTCTCTCTCTCTCTCTCTCTCTCATTTGCTGTGTAGTGCAAAGGTGGCGATCTCGTCTATCAATCTTGCTGATTTGCGTTCAAATACCTCGCCGCCAATGGATGGTAACCCGGCCATTCCTTGCACGCAGGAGATAACTTAGAAGCAAAATGAAACAGACATTATGCCACACCAAGAATATCCACTGTAACAAATGGAATCAGATTAACCCATTGGTGCCGGGTATGACGTGTATGTACGTGCTATGCCCAGCGTGAGTACTTGTTTGATTGTTTTTACGCATAGATGGCAACACTTGTACTAAATCACCAATGAGCGGGTTACGAGTACCGCCCGTCTCGCCTGTTTACCCGTTTCTTTGATTTACGAAATATTTTACGTTATCTTATTTTGCTGTTAGTAATGTTAAAAAATATTATAAAAATTATAATGTTTATGATAAAAACAACACCATCGATTTTCATAGCACTAGTGAAAAATACGTTTTTCCCGCCATTTCAAATCAGGCGCTAGCAGAGCCATCTATCGGCAGACATTTCACGAAAAACAGAAAGTGGGCACAGCATTTCCCCATTTTTTGTTCATTTTCCCCGGCGGCATTGGGTTAAACCTTTGAATTAAACCTCTCTCTCTTACATGAAAAAATACATACAACTGCATAGCCAAACCTAATCATAAGCCGATCAAAGTCGCCTGTCTTCATGTCGTTCTCCTTCCCCAAAGCCACTCACCAGGCAGGTCCTTCCAGCAGAAGAATCCCTCGACGCCCTCCATGCTGAGAGCCTCCTCCTCGTCGATGCTGAGGATCCGGGCGTGGGCTCTGCTCGAGACGACCGGCGCAGCTTGCAGTTCATCCTTGAGGGGAGGCATGTCGTCCACATACACGGCTTCCCCCGTCGCGTGCTTGAAGGCCGAGGCGTGGGTTATGGGTCGGCCGATGGGGTCGCAGCTAGCCTGGCCGGGAGGAACCTGTCGGGATGGAGGGACCAGGATTTCTTTGGGATATTTATTTATTCATGGATTTATTTATTGAATTATTCATTATTATCGTGCGAAGTAAAGCACTATGGCTTTCAAATCCGATGTTCGTTATTTATAAGTTCGCTCTGTTTTGCATTTATATATCCCTCGATAACCAGGTAGTGATAACGCGGAATAAAAGAGGAATGAGAAGAAATAAACTAAATTCCTGTCTACAATAGCAACACTCCAAAAAAGTGACAGTGAAAACCAAAAGCATATTTTTTCTACCACCTCATTACTCTAGCTTAAACTAAAACAAGTGTTGACATTACACTCTGGAAAAGCTGCGTGCCCTTTAGCGGGATGTAACGATGAACCTTTGTCGCCTGCTGCTCTGCTTCCGTCAGCGGATCCACAAGGGAGGGGAACTGCTCACTCAGGCGTCCTCGGACACTCAGGTAGAACTTGAAGAAGAAGCTGTGGGTATGGGGGATCCGTGGAGGTAAATATCTAAGCATATATTATTATTAATAATAACAGTAATGGTGATCATAGCAAAACAGTAACATAATGTGAGGTAAAAATTCTTGCGTAAAATCGACTAATTTCAGTGTAAAATCGAGTAATTAAAAAATGGGTTCATCAGTAAATACCGGTATTCTAATTCCTGGAAGATTACCACAGCTATTTACAAATGTAAGAACACAATGATAAACTAATAACCATAAATAACCACTCCTGGAAACGCTATGTATGCTCTGTCATCTTCCTCGTGAATGGCAAAATACTTTTCCGTCAACAGTATTTTTTTGTTTTGTTTGAGTGATCTCTTTTAGAAGAAGACGTAACAAATAACAATTTTCTAGAAGGATAATAGTCTCCCAAGAAATCACCAAGGCAAAGAAAACGTAACAAACATCAAACTTCTAAAAGGAAAATAGTCGGCGATCGGCGTCTGTACCTAATGGCGAGCGCGCGGCGATACTCCACCATCCCCCCGGGGGCCGACGCAGACAGAGGAAGATCCTGTAGGAGGAGTGACGTCCCGGCTTCCAGGAGAGACGGATCCCAACAACGTCCTTCCAGTTCCTAGAAAGATTGATGCAGTGCAAGGCATTGTAATTATGAATTTGATTACATACAAGTACAAACCCAAATGGACCAGCACAAGCAGATATTTACTTCATTTTAAGGACATGTTAAATATTAATTTAAAATAGTCTATACATAGAAAATTTCCTAAAACCCTCTGAACATTGTTAGACTTTATTTAATAATATTAACGTAAAAAAACGTTTAACATTATATCTCCCTCAAATTCTCAAAGCACATTGTACCGCACAAATATACATTTGATAACTGATTACGACAGCGGTTTGACCTATCTTAATGTAAATGTTAAGTAGTATGGTTGTAGAATGAGGATATTTTAAGCTCAATAAAGTAAAAAACTAAAATATTACAAAGACATTTACGTAGAGAATCAGTAACTCGATGACTGGGAACTCGAGCAGCCATAAAAAGTTAAACATACCACTATCCCGAAGAACGTGAACTATAATCATTGTCCGATAAAAAACTGCAACCGACAAAGAGGATTTCTTGAATTATTTGTAGTATTCTTTGTGCTGTAGCTCGGATATGCGAGGACGGACTAACTTAAATCATCAAAAACTACAATTATGTGAAATCCCATCATAACATATAATGCTTAGGTTTCATTCAAGATATCAATTTACCAAATAAGAAAATCACGGCCATCGGCATGATCAAAGTCAGCATTTACATTTCACCCTTTGGTTCCCGAAGACCTATGGCGTCACGTAGAGCTGGCTAAGATCGGTATATGGGGGGGGGGGTAGAGAATGGTGTATATATACAGATATATATAAATATCCAAATATAATTATATATATACATACATATCTATCTATCTATCTATCTATATAACGAGGAACACCAGCTGCTCATCACCAATACATTCTTTAGACTCCCTACCAGGAACAATGCATCTTGGATCCTGGATCGTCATCATCAGTCTTCAGGACAGACAGGATGTGAAAGTGACCAAATCACCCTGTATCGCTGAATGCTGGACAGATCATCGTCTCATCATCTCAAAGCTAAAATTGAGGGCTCACGCAAAACGCAGCCCCCAAGGCAAGAAGAAGCCGGAGCGCATCAACACAAACAAGGATAGGTCCTGACATGAGAAATCGAAAGGCATGCCAATGACATCCATACTTCAGGCCTGGCCGTGAGCATTTTAGCAGGCGAGCGGTGCATCACTCTCCTCGTTAAAGTCAGGCGGGCGATTTTCAATCTATTGAAAATCGTCCATAAAAGTGTACGAATAAACAACAAATGCAACATTAGTATTTAAACAGCTAAGTTTACAAAACAAGATGACAATTCTCCAACAGAAATAAAACGATAGTTTCATATAGTCGCAAATCAACCACATTCTCACAAACAAGGTGTGAACAGAACCAAACTTAAATCAAATAGCGTAATTTTATAACATTAGTACAAACTAAAAGTCATTCGAAAACTGGCATTTTGATGTTCAAGTTCAAGTTCAAGGTGATTAATGTTATTTTGAAGTCAAAACATAAGGGATTAAGTTCCTGCTCGCCTCGCTAACCCGAGGCGATCGCCCGCCTCAAACGGCCAGGTCTGATACTTCTGATGGCATTGAGGAGAGTTAGTCATCCTTCTGACAAATCATCTACACCACCTCTAAGGAAACCCTTGGCTACCAACAAACTAGACAGCAAGATTGGTTTGAGGAGAATGATGAGACTGGAACTCTTCTAGAGTATGCCTTGTGCACTGACTGCACAAGGCATACCTCTGGTCCTACACACCGCATAAAAAGCATTATACAAAAAAAAAATCACACAATGCAAAGACTTACCCCAACCGCCCCGAATTTATGTTCTGTCCCCTGTATTTTTTTGGGAATGTTGTTACATACAGATGGCTCCAAATGTGCTCAGCCACCAAGGGTCTATCAGTAGCCCTAGTGACCGATCCTGATTTCCCCATTCTTTGAATTGGCGGGAAAACGTGTTTTTCTTATTGATACAGGTGATATCAATACTGATATTATTATTATTGATGTTATGATTACTAAATTGCTATTAAAATCTCGACAACATTTAAGGCAATGAAATAATGTAAAAGACCCTTTCCAAGAGTCGAGGAAAAGGATAAACAGGTGAGATGAGTAGGACTAATAACCGACTCCTTGGTGACTTGAGCACTTGTAGAACCATCTATGTATAAATGCAGTAAACTTATTAATAAAAATAAACTTATATTACAATGGTCATGGCATCTATTCTTGTAATATAGGGTGATTGGGTGAAGGTGGATAATGAAAGGGGTCCTGACTTGTTAGTTTATTAAGAAAGGTACATAAGAAACCCCCAAAAGACCCCCATGCCCACGGGGTCGAGGACGAGGTGATGGAGCTGGACCCTGAGTGGCTTGGCCTGATTCCCTCTCCGTCTGTAGAATCGTGTTATTCTATACAGCGGTTCCCTTCGAGGGCTGATGCTTACTTACGTAGAAGTGCCAAAAGAGAAAGCAGAGTGGGCACGTGCATCTGCCCAAGGAGGAAAGGCAGCTGCTGGGGACAGAGGTATGAAACGTCCATCCGGTCTTGCTATGCATTGTTTACACAAAGAAAAAGCTTAAGAGATCCAGAGGTATGCAGATGCACACATGATGAAGGAATTTTACAGTGCTATGAAGGAAATATATAGTCCACAGTCTTCTAGCTCATCTCCTGTTTACAATGCAGAAGGAACTACTCTCCTCAATG